ATCCAAAAACTGCAATGGAGGAAGCTTTATCTGAGCAATTAAAGAACACTAAAATTCAAAAATCTGATGATAAAATTGTAAAAAGAGGTTGTTATTACACGAAAATCCCACGTTTAATTAAACAAAAGGGAATCCTCGGGCAAGATCTTACTTCCTTGAATCTCGACAAGGTACTACGCGTTGCAAAATTACCATTTTACCCCTTGGAAAAACATAAATGAGACGTTTTTCTTATACCATGTAGACAAGTCTTTTGGAAAGCATTTTGATTAAAGAATATGGAGGAATGGAAGATTTGCTTCTTGGAGAACTGCAATTTGCTTTTGTTGCGTTTTTGGTAAGATTTTTTTAGTGAAATTCTTTTTAAAAAAATCATTTTAAAAAAAGTATCTGAAATCAAATATGTTTATTTGGCAGATGGGACAATCACTTGAAGCATTTCTTCAATGGAAAAATTTTGTTAACCTTTTATTTGGTTGTACTGAAGCTGTAAGTTTTCTCAAATATTTTATTAAACATCAACACTTTATCCATACAAAATGTTTTAACTTTTTTTTTTTTTTTTCAGCCTCTTCATACACGGAGTAATTTGTTTACTAAGGTAATTGTATATGATTTTGACAACTATTGTTATTCTATATTTCTATTATCTATAATTTGTTATTGTTTTTTGTTGTTGACATTAAAGTTTGTGATTTTTTTTTTTAATAGTTTATCAAGGTTCTCTATTATCAACTCAAGTATGCATTTCAAAAAGAAAATAATGTTGCTACAAAAGGGTCTATCACATTGTTAGATGATTCCTTTTTATCTTCTGATAGTTTTCTTCAACATCTGTGTAAGGTAATCCAATCTTTTTTTTTTAGTGCTTAATTAGTTTGTTAATAATTAAATTTTTACAGGAGTTCTTTTTGCTTGTGCTTCAAGCTCCCTTTGTTGATGGAGACCTTTTGTCTTGGGTGAGTATAATTCTCACTCATTTTACTAAAGCTTTATTAATTTTCTTCTATATTAATTTCAAGTTTTAACTTTATAAACTTGTGTAATGTATTTATGTAGACAAGAAAACTTAAAGAGTTACTAGAGTCGTCTCTTGGATGGGTATTTGAGCATGACACGAGAGATGGCATCTTTTATGAAGAAGATGATGAGGTTAGTACTGTGTACTGTTTACTGTGTACTGTGTACTGTGTAACAAATTTGTTTTTGTAGTTTGCTCCGGTGGTGGTGATGTTGGAGGAGTGAAGATATGATGGATTTTTGGCGTCTTATTAGGCATTTGGAAACAACATCAAGATTTTTTTTGGATTATAACAAGAAATTTTTGTGCAATGTCTATTTATAGTAAGGGATTTCAGATGAATTTTGTGTATAAAGTTAATGCCATAGGGAAATGTTTGATTGTGGGTTGTGAATTTTGTGGAATGTGGCTAATTTGATGGAGCAGATAAAATGTTAAAAAAGGCTAGTTTATACTTTATAGAAATGTAACAACTTTTTATTATATGATCTTGTTAGTTTATTTGTTGTATAAAGAGGGTTAATGTTACACAAGTCGACTTTATTAACTAAAGCAAGCCTAATTAGTTGTAGAATTCTATCTTCTTTAGTATATAGTGGGAAAATATGATTTTATTGGAGTTGCTTTATACTATAAAAAACTTTGTTATGTTTGTGAAAAACAAATGTGCAATCTAATCGAATTTTTTCTGTTTAAGTAGAAAGATATATGCTATTTATTAAATATTTTTTTAACTCTTGAAAATGCAAGGGCAAGATGGTCTTTTTGAATTCATTCAACAGTTTCTTAAAGAAAACGGGCATGTGTATGAATCTGTCAATGCATTTGAAGACAAAGATGCATCTGGAAATAAACTGCTTATTGAACACGAAACTTTTCTTTTTTGTTTGTGTATGAATCTATCAATAGGAACCAATGGCTAAATGTTGATTTTTTTTTTTTTTTTTTTATTATTATTATTATTATTATTATTAAAAAATGTTTTTAAACATGTAAGTATGCTATCAATACAATTTTAGCAACCTACTTTTATTTCTTTTAATACATGTTTTAAAACATATAAGTAAGATGTTATAAGTGATATAAATCTGAAATAATAATAATAATAATAATAAATAAACAACAAAGCTATAAAAGACAAATGAGTTTTTTTTTTTCCTTTCAATTTACAGATTTACCCTTGTGTAAAAACCGAAAGTAGCATGCTAATTCAATAACTCCTTATGACTTAAAATGAAAGTACTCCTAATGGGTTAAAAATTAATATTATTGCCACTTATGGCTTAAAATGATAGTACAACACATACATCTAGAATGACCATATTGCCCCTGAACGGATGTACCATCAATGCATGTTTGATCATTTGAATCCAAAAAACAGATTTAAGAAAAAAAAAAATTAACCGAAATGGGAATATGGTCAATGTTATTATAAAGTACAAATTTCCCCTTTAAAAAAACAAAATCAAGCAATGTAGTTTGCTTTGTCTGTTTCTATGAGTACATGTAAAAAAAAATGAAAATTTGTTGTAATAAAAACTATTATTAAAATACCGTTTGATTTTATCACATATGGTTGTTATAACTGGTGATGTTAAGAAATAGCAACGTCTTTTCAATATTAGAATTTTAAAATAAAGAGAAATGGAGCATGGGAAATTAGGTATATTGATATATTGTTTTTATTTTATCCTATTTTTCCTTTTATGAAAGAACAACTTATTTTATCATATCAATTTACCCTTATTTTTATCATTCTTATTATTTTACATTATAATTATTAGAATTGTTGACATTAAAACATAAAACAAAAGAGACAGATCTAACCACATTCCCCATTTCTTGATTACTTTCCAAAAAAATTTAGAAATAACAAGATCTCTAAAATCAAATCACAAATGAGTCTTAATTAATGGATTGCGATTTCAAAGATTTCGAGGATATGGGTTCCTTTTTTCGTCTCATGTAGCAAATCCATAAGCCAAAAGTATTTAAAGTTTGAAAAAAAATATTATAAGAGTACTCGTAAATAAATCTCATGATTTCGTGGAGCAAAAAATAACAGAATTTGAAAGTTTTTTTTAATGAATTGCAACCCAAATTTATGAAATAGTAGGCCTTTAAGCCCATAGCAACCCATATTCGATGTTTTTTATTATTATTTTGGGCTAATAGAATATGTAACTGTAAATATTATTATTTTGGGTTAATGGAATATCTAACTGTAATGTATCTAATATTAGGTATAGATCCATTAAAAACTACATAGTTTTAACAAAATACAGTCAAATCTCTCTACCATCTTTCTTGTATTCTTTATAAGACTAGATGATAGGCTTTTTACATATTTTTATGGAGTTTTAAATTTTTAATTTTACAACACAAACCATGTATAAGAATATATTATCAACTACCAATAAACCTTCATATTTAAATTAAAATAGAAAACTATAGTGAAAGATTGAAATTATTCATTAAAAACTCAATAAACTTCTTCACATAACACATCAAAAAGAACAATGCAAGTATACATATGGTTGGTGTCATAGAAAGTTATCAAGCCTAATAGAGGTCTAATTAGGGGTGTTTACGGGGCGGTTTGGTTCGGATAATAATAAAATTATGAACCGTGACCACGGGGCGGATACCTTACACGCACTATCCGTAACCGAACCGAATTGTGTAAAAAACTGAACCGAACCGAACCGTATAAAGACGGGTAACCACGGTTCGATCCACGGTTACCCGCTAAAAAAATCAATTTTTGTTGGAGTTCTAACACCATACATTACCAAAAAAAATGATAAATATAATACATAGACATTAATAAGATACCATACATTGATACATTTGACACAAAACATATCATGCATAATAATATAAGCAAATATAAAAAAAATTGAGAAAAAAAAAACAAATGACGTTTAAAGCCATTAACTAATATAGGGTATGTATTAAGAGTCTAATTTGATCAAATAGTCAGATTATTATTCAATGTTCCATTAATAATCACAACTAATAAATCATTACATAAGACATACTTATCAATTATATATGCATATCTAAAATAAAAACATTTAATTTAATAAAATAATGTTTCTGTGTAAAGTATATATATATATATATATATATATATATATATATATATAATGTAATACGGTTCGGTTCGGGTATCCACGGATATCTAAATATCAAAACCGAAACCGACCCGAATATATCCGGTTTTTTCGGTTTCGGTTTTGGTTTTTCACGGTTTCGGTTTTTTTCGGTTTTACGGTTTTTTTGCACACCCCTAGGTCTAATATTAAAAACACATTCGCAATACATAGATGTTGGAGATAAATTATGAAATCAAAAATAATATGAACTCAGAAACAATAGAAAAAAGCTAACAATGAAAAAAAAATTGTGTTTATTTAATTAAAATAAAGTCAATTTTGATGGTTTTATACCTAATATTATATACATGAGAACCATATATTCACTTTTCCCTATTATTTTATATATTTTCATTAAATTGCCCATTATGCCTATCTTTATTTTTATTTTATTTTATTTTTTTGGCTCTAAGAATTTATTGAATTTGGCTACTTTTGTCTTTTTTCCACATAACAATAGCAAACACCCTTTAGAATGATCAAACCAAGGGTGTTTGACATTGTTTTTCAAATAACTTTTGGACTTTCAATTTTTTCAAAAAGTTAAAAAAATCCAAAAAATATTTGTTTTTAATTTTTTCAAAAAGCTAAAAAGATCCAAAAATATTTGACAAAATAGAAAAATTCTTTCAAATTAATTTTTTTTCGTGAACAAAGAATCTTTTTAATAGTTATAAAATCCTATCTTTTTGGGAATTTTAAATTTTAACTTTTAAAAGCTAAACCAAAAAAATTTTAAAGATTTCTTTTTAAATTTTTTATATAAAAAATCTTTCTATAAAATGACTTTTAAGTTAAAGAAGGAATCCCAAACGCACAAGTGTACATAATTTAGATTTTAATTGCATTTGAATACACCGAGTGGGAGGGAACATGGTCAAATACATGAACGAGTATACAGTAAACATTTGGTTTTAAAACCCAAGCTGGTTTTGGTTTTCACCATTGTTTGCAAGAACAGAAATGGCGCGACGCTTCTCTCAACTACCCTCTCTCTTCAAAACTACCAAAACTTATTTTCATACTCCAAAATCATATCTCAGAATACCCAGTAAACAATCGAACTCTCTTTTCTTCATCGGCTCAAGAACCCGAGTAAAGGATTCATCTTTCCCATTTGCACAAGGTCAGCATCCTTCATCCTCATCTTAAAATTCGTTTCTTTGCTATCAATAACTTTGAATACCATTACCATATGTTCATAAATCCCATTAAATTCTTTTCGTTATATGTTTACGTTACCTGGTAGTGTTCTCTTATCTTATGCACCCCAACTGTTTGTGAAAATGCCTTCCTAATTTGAGGACTCAAATCATTTCTCTATTAAAATTCAACATATCTTTTACAGCATCTCGATCGTATGCTAGAGGGAAACAACCTCATTACAATCTCTTCAGCAATGGGAAGCCCGGAGACAAGAAATTTCGAGAAGCATGGGGAAAGAAAATCGACGAAGACGATTGTCTCTGGACAGGAAGCGAAGAAGACGAAAGTGACACAGAAACCCAAAAAACCAATCTCAATGAAGAAATCAAAAAAGTCAAACAACAAGCGGAAGACCACTCGAATCTCATCGATGGCGACGACAGTGACGAATTAAGAAGCGTATGGTCTGGAAGCGACGAAGAGAAAACCCTCTGGACAGGTAGTGAAGACGACGACGATGACGACATCCCGACAGACCCTTACCCTAACGAATCCAGCGATGCGTATTTAGACAAACTATTCGAATTTGATGAAAAACCAAAGTATCGGACAATTTCCGAGCTTTTGAAATCCGAAGAACAAGAACAGGAAGAATTATCTCCGGGAAAGCAAGCGAGAAAACTTGCGGTTGAAAATGCTTTGAAGAAACTGAAGAAAGGAGCCGATGGGCGTTATGTTAATGTGTGGGAAGTGATGAGTGATTTGGATATTTTGATTGGTGCTTTTGAGAATATTGTTTCTGGACCTGAATATGAAGAGTTGAGAAAAGGTGGACCTAAGAAATTGAATATGGAGTTTTTTAAAGATATACAGAAGAGAATGAGGGATCCGAATTATAAATTTTCGCCCGAGTTGAAGCTGAAACCGAAGAGTAAAGTGGTTCCAAGAAAGAAATGGCAGAAGGCACAGTCTAGAAGAAGGAAAGCACAGAAGCGTTAGGCATATGACGTTCTATGACAATATATTGCTTTCTATGGCATTTTGAAAATTTGAAAGTTCGAACAAGTTGTGCGTTTGAAATCATTAAAACGACACCACTACATAGGCCAAAAGAATATTTTTGTTCGAAAACTTTTGTCGGGTTCAAAATTGCAAACAACTTGTTACAGAAAAGCATGTTCGAAAATGATAATGAAGTCTGGAAATTTAGAAAAAAAAGCATTTTAAGTACTACCTTTTTTTCTTTAGAAACTAGAATTCAAAAATTACAATTTTCCAACTCCATGATTATCTTGGTGAATTCATAATAAATTGTTTAATTTTACCCGTATTGTATTATTAAGATTGAGATATTGTCTATGATCGTTTTTAATTTTATAAGATTGTGATCATAAAATCAAACTTATCCATCAAAAGACACCACCAAATAGATACAATAATAAGTTCAAAATGAAAATATACCCATCTATTTGACTATTTGTTCTCAACTTATGTAAACTTTGACATAACAATAAGCTAAATTAATACATTAAATCTAAACCTCTAATATAATCATATATGAGAAATGAGATGTTGATATCATTTTTTATAATTATTTTCATATGCTTTTTTACTAAATGCAATTAAATAAAAACATGATGCATATAAAAATTTATCTTTACCAACAATTATAAAACTAAAGAGTAAATGCAATAATTTTTCATATCATATTACACGTGAGATTATGGAAGAAAATGAGGTTCTTGAACATAAATCTATAGTGGAATGTAGGAATAGAAAAGGTTGGACAAAATGGAAAGATGCCATAAATAAAAAGCTTAATTCTCTTACTCAACGAAAATTTTTTGGATCTGTAGTCCATACACCAAATGAGGAAATATCAATGGGATACAAATGAGTATTTATGCGAAAAAAGTCCATACACCAAATGAGGAAATATCAATGGGACATAAATGAGTATTTATGTGAAAAAAGAAACAAAAAAAAAAAAAAAAATGAATTTGTGAAGTATAAAGCAAGACTACTTGTACAAGGTTTTACCCAAAGGTCTGAAATTAATTATAGAGAACGTACTCTTGTGTGGTTGATGCAATTTCATTATGTTATCTATTAAGTTTACACATGCAAAAATAGAGATGCATCTAATGAATGTAGTTACTGTCTATTTATATGATTTACTCGAGAATGATATTTATATGAAAATCTCATAAGGATTTAAGGTGCCGGAAGCACAAACTTCTAATTCTCGAGAAGTATACTCGGTAAAATTAAATAAATCTTTGTATGAATTGAAATAATTTGGTCATATATGGTTCAATTGTTTAAGTACATTAAAAAAGAGTCAGGCATCAGCATCCAGAAAATTCAGTCAAGTAACAACTTGGCCCATTTGTTCACTAAAACACTCCCTACATCCAAATTTGAAAAGATAGTACGAAACATTGGCATGTAGCACTTCAAGGAAATTAAGTGATGTGTTGATTAAGGGGAGTTAAAAACATATTGTACTCTTTTCCTTAACTAAGTTTTCCCCACTACGTTTCATTAGCAAGGGTTTTAATGAGGCAATTATTTCAAATGTCTATTATTATTCATGTATATCTTTCCTTAATAAGGGTTTCTCCCACGAGGTTTTACCGATTAAGTGTAACATCCCAAAAATTTCATCAAATTAAAACTTTTCAAAACAACCCATTATTAACAAAAGTGTTTACAAAAACATTGTCTCCAAACCATGATTTAAAATCAGAGTCTCTCAAGATCCAATCTGTTGTAAAACCAATGATGTGTACGGTCACGCCTTCACCTTGCGACAAATCATCTGAAGAACCTGAAACCATAAACAAAGTTGTAAGCACAAAGATTAGTGAGTTCCCCCAAAGTACCAACACTCAACATATAACATATACAAATAACAACATGTAATTGGGTCCACATCTAAGAGACTGGATTACCCCTGAGCCCACAGTATGAGTCTGGCTTGCCTAACGACCCATAGCTTATATATGGCCTGCTCTTGAGCCTACAACATAAGTCTGGCTTACCCCTGGGGACCAGATCTTATGTCTGGCTTGCTCCAACCTAATCAGTCATCGGATTGGAATATTGATGTCTAGCCCTCAGTACGAGTCTGGTATACCAACTGGGTCCTTAACTCGTATCTGGAATGTTACTGAGCCCTCAGTATGAGTCTGGCATGCCTTACCCGACCCTCAACTCATATCTGGATTGATCCAATACCCTCAAGCCCTCAGTATGAGTCTAGCATACCACACAGGTCCTCAACTCATATCTGGAATGCACAAGAGCCCTCAGTATGAGTTTGGCGTGCCTTACCCGGCCCATAACTCATATTTGGAATGCTTCAGGGTTTGTTGGCTATAGCATGAATTAGTACAACCTCAACCCAACACGATATACCGACAGCTAATAACATATACATGTAATCATGCATACAGAATCACATGTAGTCCTATTGATCTGCCAGACTAGCATATCAAGACTAGCATGCATATCTATTCCATACTTAAAATATCAACAATATCAGGTTATCCAACCAGTGGCCCGACCTTGGTGCCTTCAACTTAAAAGTCGAGAGAGGAAAACTCACCTCACACTACCGAATCATATAGACGTTTCCCGGCTATTGGTTGATAGATCTCTGAACCGTCAATATCAAAACAACACCCCATTAACAGCTGATCCCACGAATAATCTATGACTACAGATCCGCTAACATCCACATGCTATCAAATACCACAAATGAAAACCCATGAACATCTAGCCACTGACTCACAATATGAGTCCATATTAGGGTAAAAAACCTTTTTACCCTTCTTAAGCTTGTCTCAAAGCCAAGGTCCAAACTAGATGATCAAAGGCCCAAAATTCCAAAATAAACATCTAAGGCCCAAATATGGCATAATTTTCCAAATTGGGCCTAATCTTTTCATGGGCCTTTTCCCAAGAAGGCCCAACAAGTCACAACAACCCAACAATGAAAATCCAGATGGTCCAACATAGCTAAGCCCAAACCGAAGCCCAAAACACAAAAGCCCAATTCCGCTGAGTACGTGAGGCGTACTCAACATGTACGCTCCGAGTACAACATGGGAGGCTTGTACGAGCAACATACATACTTGTACGCCCAACGTACTCACCAGCCCAAAGCCAACTTTCCAGTTAAGCACTTAAACCATTAAGACTTGGATCTAAACTCAGATCTGACTTCCCCAAGGTGGCTTATCACATAAAGTTGCCAACTTTATGTGCATACATGGTTAAATGGGAGTCTAGAGATCAAAAGAGCTTAATACTTGACTTAATACATGCATGAAACCAAAACCACCATAAAGTTTGCACCTTTATGCCAAAGGAACCCATGATATAACCAGATCTACAATTACAAGCTTCACAAACGACTTAAACTCCCAATCATCAACCAAAAGGGGTCAAAATGGCCAAAAATGCAACAAGAAGAAGATCCATGAAATGAAAACGCGAGGTTTGAACTTTATACCTCCCAAGCTACCAAAAGGGAATGAAAATGTTGGATTTCAAAGCTTTCCTTCAAACAATAAGTCTTCAAGTTCCTCCTTCTTCTTCTAGATCCACAAAACCCTCCAAAAATCTCACAAGAGCTTCAAGATCACCAAATATAGGCTAGGGGGTCGAGTTAGGGTTTTTAGAGCATGTAGGCTGACTTAGAAATGACCAAAAGGGGATATCATAAAGCTTATATACGACACAACAAGAAAGAGTAGGGTTTTCTAATTGACTCTCATACTCCCAGTGTACGGGGCCTCGCACCCCCACATCACCCTTCGCATTACGGTCATCGTATACCTCTTTATGCTAAGCGTACTGACCAATCCAATCATACGCCCCACGTACTGACCTACGCAGTCGTACGCCCAACATACTCCCTTGGTATGCCTCGCGTACTAGGGTTCCCTCCAAAACCCTAAATACTCCGAAGGCCATAACTTCCTCGATCTAAGTCCATTTACGATGAACTTTATATCCACAGAAAGGTGATGAGAAGCCATACACTTCTAGTAACTCATCATAGCCTTGAAGTTTCCCTGAACCAAACCCATAATTCATAAAGGAACGAGATAACGAATTACAATTATGCCTTTGGGCTCCGAAACACCATCGATCACTCGGATCAATTGGACTTCAATAGCCTCAACCAAAAAGAGCTAAATCCTTTCTTTCCCCACCCAAGCCTTATGATAATTGATGATCAGGTCGTAACCCCGAATAATAAAACCGGGTGTTACATTAAGGTTTTAAGGAGGTATGATATAATCGTCATTCAAGGGTGAGTGTTATGAATTATTATTTAGTGTGATGAAGTGATAATCGAGTATATGAAACAAATCAAAGTAATATGAATGTAATTGAACACAAGAAGTAAATATAATCTGGTTTCAGCTCTATTATTTCTGATGAACACAGAGTACAAAACTATAGTAAACAGGGTGAACTCTTACAATCACTCTCTAACTCTTTCTATCTACTCAACGTTCAGTCCCTATTTATTGGAAATAGGAAGTACAAAAAATACTAAGGCTTAGACATTAAGCTTCGAATAAAAGACACCTTAGTAAATACATAACAAACCATACGAAGAGTACAAAAATAGACTTCGACTAATTACAACATTTTCAACCCTACAATCTCCCCCTTTGTAATCAAGTCGAACTTCTCAAGGATTGAGAATCTGTGCAGCAAACAACATCACTCTTCGTATTTCTGTATACCATGAAATAATCTTCTTCAACTCCTTCTTATCCCCTTGGTTATTCTTCGAATACTTATTCATACGAATAATAAAGTTCGTATATTGGGACGTAGTGTACCTCTCCACTTCGCATGTCTGGAACAAAAATCTTTTAGCCTTCCCATTCTTATCCTTTCCTGCGAAGACCATTCCAAATGGCTTTAAGCAGATCTCCCCATTTGCATATCTCTTCAACTCAACTTGAGTCTTCGTGACTTCCATAGGAACTTTCACTTCCAACCCCTTCGCATTAGCCAACTCCACATTAGTAAGGGCCAAACACTAATAGTAATTATCTATGAATATTTTGATGTGGGAAAGACCAAGTCTAAACACTTCTGGATCTGTCCCTTGAAGATGCAAAGCACTATTGTCTTTCAAAAGCAATGCAACTTGTATAAGATCATACAAGTTCATTAAAGGAAAATCAGCAACAGAGAAATCACAGATCTGACCATTCACCCTTGCAACATGAAAACGAAAATTCTGCATCATATTCTCAAACAGAACATCCTTCGTAATACTGATCACCTT